TGATAAAGGATGCCTATGGCAAGACATTTTGACTTTTATGCATTCTCAATATATGTATTCTTGATTTCAACAGTCCATTTGTAGCTATCATCAATTAAATTGATCATCAATTAAAATTAAATAGCTGATATCAAATATTTAAGCATTAATGTCAAAAATGTGATTCTTGATAGAAATTCCTGATATCTACCTTTTAATTTTTATTATCAGTAATTGTATTTTCACTAGAATGTCACCATAGACTGTCATTTAAATTTAACTGCTAATATCAAGAACAGATTTCTTACTAATGTGATATCAACAATGAAATGAAAAATTATACTGCTGATATCAGAAATGAAATGATTAATATCTGGAATTAAATCTACAACTGAACTGCTACTAGTTAAAATGGTTGAAATTAAAATTTAAAAAAATACTGTCATTACTGACAGTAACAAATATGATTGTTACCAGTGAAATCAGTAAGTTTAGATATTAGAAATTACTCTCCTAAATGCTGATATCAGAAATACATTTTTAGATATAAGAAATAACAAATGTAACATGCTGAAATATAATTCTAGATATCAAGAATTAACATTTCAACTAGTGACAAAATTGTCGATAACAATAATTAAATTCACTCAAGTTTGAGTGTAAATACTTCTTGATATCAGTTAAATGCATATCAATATTTTATACATTTGTAGTTCATTCTATCTGAAATACATTTCTGAAATAATTATGATATCTAAAATATATCTTTCTTGATAGTATTCATAATATCGACATTAACACTGTCACTACTAACTTTCAAAATCTTGATATCAAAAATAAACATTTTTACTTGTTTCAATTATTGAATCCATATTAAGATAGACTTTTGCACTAGTACCACATAAAAATGGATATCAAAAATAAAGCCTTTTACTAGTAACAATTGTGCTTCTGATGTGGAGAATTGGATTTTTTTGCAAGAAATCAATTCTTGAAATCAACAATTAAATTTGACATTTAACTAGATAAAATACAATTATCAAAAACTGTCATTCTTACTAGTTGAAATTCAGTTCCTGATATCAACAATTTACATTTAACTAGTAAAATTGAATTGTTAATACCAAGAATTAACATAGACCTACTAGTGGAAATGCAACTCCTAAATGCAACAATAGTTCCTCATATAAACAATTTAATTCTTTATATCAAGAATTCATACCCTGTTAAGCAATAAAAATTGCTTAACAGGATAAATGTAGAATAAAAACGTGCGTGCCGGCCCAACTTACAAATTTAAAGAAAGAGACTCTACCTGTAATGCTCCTTCCCACTTGTGAACTGTCCACGATCACATTATCTGGATCGACAGTGAAAGGATTTGAATCTTGTCCCTGCGGTTCTGTGCCATGATCTATATCCATATTTTGACACTGGAAGATCAATAAACTTCCATCACTGTAACAGCAGCTAAACTTCAGCATGTTAAATCCAAATATCAGCAAAAGGAGAGCGCGCACAGCAGACATCTGAAACAGACCAAAAAAATCACGATGAGAATAATCATAAACCAAAAGCAAATAAATTCCTGTAGCAAAGTATACACACGCAGATTCTTGCATCAATTTTAGTTATAATAAGATATGACATTACCTTGATATACAGCTTTGTTGAATAAAGCTAAGAGAGCATATGTAAAAGACTTTCTCATTGTCAGTCGTCAGCGCTATAAACTGAAGCTCACTGTTCTGCTCAACCCACTTTTATTGCCAAATTACGCGTTTAATGCCCTCTTTTGGCCAATTCAGGTATTTCGATTTAAGTGGAGAAAAGTGGTCTGATTAGAGGAGCTCTGTATTGAGATGTTTATGTATAGGCCTAATAAAAAAAAATGTAATAAACAACAAATAAACAAACATACATACATATAGATCCCTTCAAATGAAAAACTTCACACTGTTCTGCCAGAATAAAAGTCATGCATGGCGACACTTTATTGTTTTAGTTTAGTAACAAGAATTGAGTCTATAAAATAATAATGTGAGTTTAGTAGGTCAAAGTCTACTAATATGTACACTCTAGGTAGGCTACTTAAGTGTTTACACTATTTACCATTTAGATTTATGAGAATTGATTAAAACTTGCAAAATGTCAGATGTTTGAGTTTGTGTTCATCATCAGCACAACAACAAGAGAGAACCAGAATTCAAAACACAATAATTTTAGCCATAATAGTGTTATTTGCAATCTTTTAAAGCATGAAATAATTGACATTTGTTCTGTGAATACAAACTGGTTGTCAGTGCTTAATGGTATAAAAGCTGTACATTAAAGAAAATAATCAGGGCTCACTGCGTCAAAATTAACATCCCTGGAAAAATATGGAAAAAACATTCAACATTCTCATTCAATCATAGCTCATTCAAGTATCAACATTTAAACCTACTTGAAACTCAATAAACATGTGTTGTGTTTAGGAACAGCCCTTAAATAGTGTTCTGTACTGTATGTTAATAGTTTAAATTTACTTTTCTTTTTGCACAACAGTCACACATGTATCACATTTTACTATTGCCTTATTCCAAAAATAATTCAGATCATTTTTCTACCCAAAATTAGTTTGAAAGCAGTTTGTTTGAAAAATTAGCAAATTTATTGTAAATAACAAATGAAGACAGATAGCGCTACGTCATTTTCAAAATACCCAGCAGCAGCTACTTCATTTACCCAAACAGAATGAAAATTTGGAATAACGAATTGATTACTGTTAAAGGAAAGAGTTTATATTTGGTTGAAACATGGGTTGCTATATGAAAGTGATTTGTTTGATTCATCTTTAAGGATCTATTCATATAAATCATTTTTATCAAAATTCAATTTTCCTGGTAAATGTAAAGAGTTTTCGACAGTGATCAAAGCTATTCCCTTGGGACTAATTAATTTAATGTGCAGTCATTTGACCTATTATAAGAAGGAAAATAAAGAATGTTATTTCCTGTTAAATGGTAAACATAAATTTGACAAAAATGTTCAAACAAAGACATAAGGCAAGGATTTAATGATGATATAGAGTTATTCCAAGAGGGAAATTTTATTGGAATTCTTTATATATAGGAGATTAGTTTGAGAAAAGCAAGACTGCTACCATACACATTTTGCATTTCAAATAAAGTGAGAGAAATTCATTTAAATGTTTTAAATAACATATACCCAACCAATGTGTTACTTTACAAATTTTCAGATATTGAGAAATATATATGTTCATTTTGTAAAAACTGTGAATTTATGTCACTTATTTGTTGATTGTCAGAGTATGCGATTATTTTAGAAAGACTTTTTTTTTAAATTCTGCTAAAAATAATTTGTTGACAACTTTGAATGCAAAATAAATTATTTGTTATTTTAATAATGGTGATAAAAATTAACTTTTGTTAAATGGTAAATTCTTTATCCACAAATGTAGACTTTCAAAATCCCCTCCTTTATACAAGGTTTTTCTCAATGAACGTATTCTGTTAATGAAGTCTCTCAAAGCTGTAAAAAATGTAAAAGCTCTGTCTATTGTTAGCTATTATGAATCTTTTTTTTTTTTTTGCTTCTTGTGAATGTCTTCATTTTTTTTGTGTGTTTTTTTTTGTTTGAATTTCAACTGTCTTTAAAATGTTAATATGTTGCCTGATTTTGCTGTATTAATAAATTAATGATGCACAAAAAAAACTTTCTATCAGAGACTCACTAGAGGGCGCTCCACCCATTATTATCTCCAGCCACACCTCAACACTACCCCCTATCCCCCCCCCCCCCCCCGCCCCACAATCCTTTGCGCTCATTACACACCTGAAGTACATTTTCTCTTCATCAGTATATACAGTGAGTCTATCTTTCGTTCCACTTTTCATTTTTTTTAACTAAATAATTATCTAATTATATATATTTTTTTCTAAAGATCCCAATATTGTTGTTTTAAAGGTTTTGGTTTAAGTCATAACTATCGCTAATTTAACTGGTGTTACAGTTCTGGTGTCATGGTGTTAGTGTTTCCAGATATAGAGGTAAAGTTGATTATATATTTGCACATTCAGACTTTCCCCTTAATAATATAATTTCATATATTTTTTTTTCATTTTAATTTCATAAAGTATTATTTGCAAACTCTAAATAGCGAAATCATATTAGTAAAAAATCGCTGTGAGCTGAAAAGTTATCTTCTTCATCTGGTTCAAATTTTTCAGCAGATGTTTAAAGCTCAAGTTCAAGTGTAAGATTATTAAGGCAATATCTGATGCTGAAGGCCATTTCCATTTTTTATTTTATTTTTTATTATATATTTTATGTAGCCTAATATTTATGGATGCCACAAAAAGACATACTGTAGACTGTCATCAGGTCATGTGGTTTGGTCTCCACTTTGAAAAAAAAAAAAAAAAAACGTTACAATTTATTTGGTCTAATACTTCAAGTTCTTCTAGATCTAGAATAGATTTTTGGGTAATATCAGACTCTCTAGTCTATCCAGATATGTCTCTAGAGTTGAAATCTTACCTTTACTCTTTAGATACAAAAGACAATTTAGATTTGGACCCTCAGATAAGTACAGACATTGATGAATATTTTCAATTTCATAATTGTACAAATAATTTACCCAGAGAGTGTAAAATCAGCTAAAAAGTCATGGAGTTGACTTATTCACTTAAAGCTTGATGGAGTGGGGATCATGATTAATGACTAGGCGTATGAATACAATGACATGCAGCATTTCAGTTCAGATTTAACCCAACTGAAAATATATGAAGGATCCAACACAATCTCACGGCAAATCATACCTTTTTGATTTAGTGGCTAATTCAAATGAATTTATGCGATCTCATTCGTACAATTGAATACAACTTGTATATCCCCCAATGGCGACTGAACTCATACGATTTCATATGAATTAGCCCTCTAAACTGCCAAATTGTATAAGTTTCCTTGTGAGATCAGGCTGGTGGATCCTGTTTGCAAAGCTGAGCTATCAACTGCTAATTAAAAAACCTGGAACTTGATGCAAATTATTTTATTTTCAATGCCCAAAAGTATTCAGGCAGTCACAAAGTGAGCAGAAAAGTGAACTTTTGATAGACAAAACAGGAAGTAAATAGAGAACAGTTTTTTCCTCAAATTAAATATCATTGTTGTGCTTATGGACTGACACATGAGGAAGTGTAATGCAAAATGTCCTTTGTTGTTTGTTTGTTTTGTGGTGTAGTTGTTGCTAGGGAACTGACCATTTTATTCCATAAATGACCAATCTGTCAGATGAAGAAGAGCCGGAGTCAGAAATTTAATTAAAGAATAAAATTTACTGAAGATAGTTTGTAGTTTTATCAGCAGAAGCCAGCTTCAACACTCGCAGAGTTTGTAGGCCGCTATGCTTACATTCTCAAAACAACAACAATTATACTCTCATATAGGTGACAAATTTACTTTGTGATTAAATATGAAAACATTTTAAACCTCAAGTGCATAAACAATAACATAACAAACAATAACAACAACAAAAACTTTAGAAGTTTTTACATACTTAGGACACTTAGAAGTAAAAGTATCCAGAGTGGCTCAATTCTCATTTCAAAAGGTTATAAATTGTCCATTTTACAGAGGACAGTAAAGCAGCAAAGTGAATTGTTACGTCAGTGATGGGAAATGATAAAATGAGGATTCAAATTCAGTTCAGTGTGTTTATAGAGAAGTGCAGGTAAACAGGAATTACAAAGTAGTGAAAAAACATAAACAAAAGCAAGCTAAAGGATAAAAACCAAACCTGGGCACACACAGACATCACAAGGCTAACAGAGAAAATTACTGATTGCAAAGGGCTAACAGAACAGGGTATAAACACACAAAGAAACAATTAACTAAAATTGATAAGGGGACAACTAATAAAGAATGCAGGAGAACTAACATGACGGGGTGTGACATGAATAAATAAAACGTAAAGTGAAACAGACATGGTTACATAAATGATAAGACATTATCTGAACTTTGGGGAGCAACATTTAAAAACATCATCATATTTTGTAAGGTTTTTTTTTTCCTTTCAGAATGGCTTTTTTAGTATCCTCCACTCAGATTGCAGAAAGTACATTATACATATCCACACAAAGTTTAATAGATACATGTATACAAAAGAAAATAGTGCAAGAAATTGGTTCATGTGCTAGAGAAAAAAAATCGTTTCAAAGCAGGCAGGTCCTTATGAAGTTACATGCAAATATATGTATACAGACTAATTGAGCAACATACACGAAGACCCAGCTTGAAAGCAAAGCAAAGACACTCCGACAATAAGTGCAACTGTAAACATTACATAAAACACTAAACAAATGACAAACATCAAGAACCATGGGGGTTTCTGCAAATAAAAAAAGAAAACTGATTTAAGCTGTGGCATTTTATAGCGATAAATGACTATATATAGACTTACAATTAAATCAAAACGATATACTGTATGTGGATGCTGACAAGGAAGGAAAATTACTTGTCTGTGCACAAAATGAAACATTACATATAATATAATTACCTGTAATCCACAGCAGAATTGGGTACTGAGGGTATTTACAACATTTTGAAGTGTGAGCTGTTTCATTTTAGGTTTTTGCACAGACCAAAAAAAAATTGCTTCATATGACGTCAACATACAGTATCACCTGCACCCAATCTATTAAATCTGTTTTGTTTGTATATTTTTTTAGACATTTTACTGTCTCTAAAAATGGTAGCGTTGACTTAAGGAGTTTTTTAACTGGACGTTTATATCCATTTATAGTACTCAGACGGGGGATGGCGGACTGTACATTTCACAACTTAAATTTTGTTTGCATTAATAAACCTCAGTCAAAACTACTAAATTATCAAATCAGTGAAATCATTTATGAACTTGACAATTAAAGAGCTAAAGTTCTGTAGATTTTAAAAATATTTAGATTTTGAACAGTTTTGATCAGTACTGAATTTGATTAATAGATTAAAAAATATATATATTTATTTGATGTGGCTTTTTACAGCAATTTAATTTAGTAAATGTTTTCATCCTGAACATAACGAAAGTGTAGTAAATCTGAACTGTGCAAATATTGATACACCCCAATGTGCATTTGAAGTCAGAATTATTAGCCCCCTCAATTATTGACCTCTCTGTTTTTCCCCCAATTTCTGTATAACAGAGAGCAGATTTTTTTTAACACATTTCTAAACATAATAGTTTTAATAACTCATGTCTAATATCTGATTTATTTTATTTTTTGAATAAAAAATACTGATGATGGCAGTAAATAATATTTGACTAGATATCTTTCTAGACACTTCTATACAGGTTAGTGGGCTTAGTTTGCACCAACTTATTTTAAATGTATTATTCAAATGCACACTAAAATATATTAAAAAAAGAGTGAATATTATACTATCCTTAACATGTACAGAGATGTATATATAAGGTAATACAAGCTAGATAAGGTCAACACGTATGGTTCAGTGGAAAGAGGTGTAATGTTTTACAAATTACTTTATGTGGAAAAACTATGTAAATTTCACATACCTTGTTTTCCAGAACAGTACAATTTTCTGTAAAATACAAATAGAATATGATGAGACAGTGGTCATGAGTAAATATATGTAATGTAGGGTTGAGTTTAATGAATCTTATTTTTAAAGTGCAGATCAAGAAAGTACAGTGACCGATAAAAATCTTTAAAACTGTCTAAAGATTTGTACAAAGTAGTCTCTAGCATGTTAGTACCAAATATACGTACGTTCCACTCTCTTAGTACTTCTTTTAATAAAGTACTTCTTGTATTTTTCCATCCGTTTAAAAACAGCTGCTCCAAGGTAAAGGATGAACTCCAACGTAACATAAACTGTCATTACTATTAGCATCCAGCGCCCTTGAAACCACCATAAGCCATAAAATATTGAGATGGCTACAGTATAAATAGAAAAAAGAAGATTAGTAACAAACAAAAGATTTTATCAGCTTTATCTGAGCTTTAAAGAGCTTTGGATGAGTAACTATTTACATCTATGCCAATTAGAGAAAAATTGGTTACTTATTAATATTATAAATTAATCAATAATTAATACAAATAAAAAAAAAAAGGTCATTTAATATTGGAGGATGCGGGAAAAAACTTACATGTAATGAGTGTATTCAGTAGATCAACTATTATGAGAGAACCAATCCAACACGTTTTTCTGTAAGATAATATATATATTATATGTAAGATATATTATATTTATGTCAATTCAATTAAGGTTTAAACAGAGTCTGAAGCCTTGTGTGCTTGTCTACTTTGTCCACTTCCAGACATTTTTTTATCATTTGATATGACTCACATACTTGTAGCTACAATGTTAAAGGGTCAAGAAACCCTGTGTACTTTTTGGAGGTTTTAACAGATTTATGTGTGCTTTGCATCAATTAAGACAACATTAGCACCTGTCAGCTTTAATTGTGGAGAAACCTGAATAATTTTGAGCTTTTGTCAGCTAATTTCATCTAAGATTTTTTGGGGGCGGTGATGTAGCGCTCATCTGCTAGTGGAGTGATGACACGTCAGTTTCTCATTATTACAGCAAAGCTGTTGATTTGCAGCAAGCATTTTTGTCAGGAGAACTGTATGAGAATTGGAGAATGGTTGACTTTGTCTTTTGTCAGTTGAGTTTTTTTACAATTAAGACACATTGCCTCCCTGCTGCTGTGTTTGCCCATGTTTAAAATCATAGATTACCAGCAGGGTTAAAGGATGAAATAGATGGCAAGAAACCTGTTGTACTGCTATCCACTGTGTCTGCATTCAGATCCAGGGAGTGGAGTGGAGAAGTCCTCCTCATTTAGAGTGTTTATATTAACATTATTAGCTTTATAATAATATAACAAATTGTGGTTATGTGTATATGCATTCATTCATTTATTTTCCTTCGGCTTAGTCTTTATTTCAAAGGTCACCGTGTATATATTATATGAAATTACGAATAACGTATTGTATTTATAGCAGGGCATTAAATCACTTACTGTTTATTTATTTTGCATTTTAACTTTGTAAACTATATGACTTTCCTCACATTCAGTGTCTGATTTTATTTTCAGTCTGATTTTGTGAGCCAACTGACAGTTGTTTGCTCCCCTCTTTTTCCCCTGCTCTGCCGGCCACGCCCACTGCTGCTTCCGCTCGAAGCATTTCACGCCCATCTCGGAGCATTTTTGGAAAAAATTCTGAGGTAGACTTCATAGGGTAAGTTTCATGACACTTTATACCAATAGCAACACAGTCTATTTCTCAAATAGGTATGTAATTATTCTGTCTATTTTATAGAATAATGTTTGTTTTTAGATAAGAAGAATCATTATACTTAAAGGAATCTTCTTTTCAAAAAGTTGTTCTTTCGTTTAAACACTGTCAGTACTTACAGGACAATCCACTCTCATCTGTAATTATATGGGGTTTTGGTCTCATGTTAATTTGTCCTATTTAGTAGTGGCCTTATTAGTCAAAGAGCCAGACCAGTAAAAACCCAGTACAAAAATGTTTCAGCTAATGATGAATTGAGACTGAGTCTCTCTTTTTTTTCTGACCATACCAGACAAAAACTTGTTTGGAAACCAGTTTGTTATCATTTCTAGTTGGTCAAATTATATTGGTGCTGATATGTTTAATTTAGCACTCACAATTCATGGCTTAGTCCGCGGTGAAGGAAAACAGTGATGGTGTGCATCAGGCTTGTAATCATTGCAGTCACTATCAAAGCAGCAAACACAAACTGCAAACCAGCATTCTCACAGTCATACTGCCACAAACATAAACAGACACAAGGAGAACTAAATTAGATGTCAAATGTTGCTTCATATCTTAACCACATATTCAGTTTGAAGAAAGTTCTTAAACTGTAATGTACTCGAAAAAATTCTTACATGAACTGCTTTTATTAGTACAAGGATAGTAGTGATAATTTTGGATATTAGTTCAATGATGGATGCAATCTGGGTGGGCTGTGAGGAGACACACAGTGTATATATTTGTTATTTACATTATGAATTCAATGAATTATAAAGGGATAGTTCACCCAAAACTGATCATTCTGTCATCATTTACTCACCCTTCACTTGTCACAAACCAGTTTGAGTTTCTTTTTTCTGTTGAACACAAAAGACGTCTGAAAACTGGTGAACATTAACTTCCATAGTGTTTGTTTTTTCTACTATGGATTAGAAAAAAATAAAAGCTTACAAAGGTTTAGAAGCACATGAGGGTAAGTAAATAGTGTAAATATATTTTCAGTTCTGGGTGAACTATTTCTTTAAGCTGAAGGAATCATGTTAAATCACGTCATTGTGTATGTGTTATTGGACACACTTACCATCTTTGAAACTGGTTTGATGATCATAAGGAGAGAAGAGCCTCCAAGAAAACAAAGTCTGCTAAATAACAACAGTGCCACACCACTTCTCTGGTGTGAACAGACAGACAGACACAGACATGTTCAAATATGCACACAAAGCAAAAAAAAAAAAACTCAAATCGTTCTCAAATATACATGTTTTGATAACCACAACATTGACATTTATAGGGTAAAAATTAAGACCAAATGAGCAAAGTGTTAGAATGTCTGTAGTATTATTATGCAGCATTCTTTAGCATATGTACTGTGATATATATTTATAGTCTACATACCATATACTGCACACACTGCAACCGGTATAATGGCATCACTACATGTAAATGAAAACAGATGACAAGTGTTATTGTTGAATCTATCCATCAATCTTTTTTAAACTGTGGTTCCACAGAGAACATTTAACCTCCATGAAACCTTAAAAGGTTAGTTCACACAAAAATTATTTCATCAATTACTCATCCTCATGTCATTCCAAACTATTGAAACCTTTTTTTCTTCTTCAAATCACAGATTAAGATATTTAGATGAAATCTGAGAGCTGCCTTTCAAGCAGTTGGGGAAATTAAGAAAAAGTAACTGGAAAATATTTATATTCCTGATAGTCAGGAGTGTGTGTGCATACATGCATTAAAAAAAAAAAAAAAAAAAAAAATATATATATATATATATATATATATATATATATATATATATATATATATATATATATATATATATATATATGCATGTATACACACACACACACACATTTAGAAAGAGGGTGCATTTACAGACCGCTAGAAAACACTTCACTATTTTGTAGTATAAATAGTGTAGTGCGTTCACACTGAAAACTAATAAGCACACTTTAATTATCTGGATGATGCACAAAATGTTGAATGATGGACACTTCCCGCACTAAATGAATGCAGTTTTGCTGATGTAGCGGAAGGGGTGTAACTTCCAGGCGTTGAATTACTTTATTTATTTTTGGTTGTTAAAACAATATTCTCTTATGAAAGTTATTATAGCGCCTCCATATGGTGAATGCGGTTATACTCATGGCAGGTATTGTTTGGTAGTTTGGTCATTTATTTCACAGATTTTTACAACCGTCAAACATCACATGGGAAACAACAAAAACAAAACAAAATATAAATTGTAGTTCCGCTTAGTAAAAAAAAAACATTAGTGCTCCCTTTGGGACACTACATACATATACTATGCTGTTAAGTGTGTAAGTGCATAAGTATATAGTTCAAAAGTGCATAGTGTGCCATCTGGGATGCAGCTACTCACTAAATTATTCACACTACTACACATCTGCAACTGTACTGGACTACATTTACCATCATGCACCTCACCCACACCAGTTCCAGATCACCGCTGATTGCAAACACACAGTTAAAGCTCATGAGGACTGATTACTGGCACTATAATTACACTTAACTTTCACACACTGGGCTGAGTGTCGTTTTCCCCAGTGAGCATTACTAAGCCATTTCCTTGTCTTGTCTTCTGTGGTTTTGACCACGTGTTTATTGTTCTTGTTGTTTTGCTGATCTTCTCCTGTTATTCTGACTGTGTTTTTGGATTACCTATATGCTCCAGTTTGCATCTGTTTTAATCGTTGTCTGCCTGACGATTCTCTTAAATAAACTGCAAGTGGATCCTCACCACTGTTGTGATAAACAGAGATAAAACGCTAATGCCACAATTATGCTAATATTTTACTGTTTCACTGGATTTTACTTTTTTGACTTATACATACATACACACATACATACATACATACAAACATACATACACACACACATACATACATACAGTAAATACACACATACACATACATACACACATACACATACACATACATACATACGTATATACATCCATCCATACATACATACATACATACATACATACATACATACATACAGCAAATACACAAATACATACATGCATACATACATACATACATACATACATACATACATACATACATACAGTAAATACACAAATACATACATGCATACATACATACATACATACATACATACATACATATATACATACATACAGTAAATACACAAATACATACATACATACATACATACATACATACATACATACATACATACACACACACATACATACATACATACATACATACATACATACATACATACATACAGTAAATACACAAATACATACATACATACATACATACATACATACATACATACATACATACACACATACATACATACATACATACATACATACATACATACATACAGACATACATACAGACATACATACATACATACAGTAAATACACAAATAAATACATACATACATACATACATACATACATACATACACACACACATACATACATACATACATACATACATACATACAGATGCATACAAATACATACTAAATTTCACACTAGTGAAATCATTTTGTCTTTATATGATGTTATTTACCTGTAGTCTGTGATTGTGTGTTTGATGTTGTAATTACTGTTGTGTTTGTAGTTGGATCTGTTTGTGTAGTATTGACTGTAGAAACACAGAATTCATATAATTTATATTTAATTCATATAATTGCCATCCTATAAAGTTTTTATGCTCTAACATCACACCAATATGCAGAAAATATGTAAAAATCTACATCAGCATAACATCAGTATGTTTGAAAACCGGCCAAAGATATTAGTTTGCCTAGGCTGGATAACTGTTGTGTTGGCTTTTACTTTTTTGACTTTAAAATTATATATGTACAGTTGAAGTCATAATTATTAACCCCCCCCCCCCCCCCGAATTATTAGCCCCCCTGTTTATTTTTTCCCTTACTTCTGTTTAACAGAGAGCAGATTTTTCCAACACATTTCTAAACATTATAGTTTTAATAGCTCATTTCTAACTGATTTATTTATTTTTTGCCATGATGACAGTAAATAATATTTGACTAAAAAATTTTAAGACACTAGTATGCAGCTTAAAGTGTACAGTCTGATTCAAAGTGCAGCCGCACCGTCTTTAGATTTTTTAAAAGAAACAGTGGGAAGAAATTCACTCAACATCTATTTGCATCAAACGCAGTTTATTACAATTTAAGATAATGCATAGACTGCACTTTTCTAAAAGCAAATTTTCAAGAATATTACCAGAAATTAATCCAACATGTTCTAGGTGCCACAAAGATGAAGCCACCTTGGGTCATATCATGTTCTGGACTTGTCCACCCCTTAGACCATTTTTGTCTGCAGTGTTTGAGACTTTTTCTTATATATACAACCAGATCCAGTAATAGCAATATTTGAGGTGACACCTGGAGACCTTGCACTACCAGCCGGTCAAATGCACTAGCTTTCTCTTCTTTGTTGGCCCAAAGGCTTATACTTTTGCAGTGGAAGTCAACTAAAACACCAACACATACTAAATGAGTAGAAAATGTCATGGCATATCTAAAGCTAGAAAAACTCAAATATAGCACCCACGGCTCAAATAATAGATTCTTCAAAGTTTGGAGACCATCCCTGTCATATTTCGAGAAAAGATTTATTCCAAATACTTGAATTATAAGCCCTCCCTCCTACTCACCCTTAAATCTATTAATTTTACTATTTATTTATTTACCTTTTTTTACCTTTTCTTTTCCCCCTTTTTCATGTACTTTGTTCTTGTATATGTTTTAGTTGCTCTGTTAAAAAAGTTTTTCTGAAAAATTTAATAAAAAGACTTGTCTACTAGTAATGTGAAAAGTTCCTTGCTCTGTTAAACATCATTTAGGAAATATTTAACAAAGAAAAACTGTATACACACACACACATACTGTACTTACAAATACATACTAAATTTCACGGGGGGCTAATCATTTTGTCTGTATGTTATTTACCAGTAGTCTGTGTGTTTGTTGTTGATTTTGTGTTTGTTGTTGGTTTTGTTTGTGTAGTATTGACTGCAGAAACAGTAGACATATAGAAAAAGAAAATACACTCAGCATTAATGCTTGTATTGAAAAAAGCTTAAATTGGCTAATAATATTGACCTTAAAACGGTCAAATAAAAAGGCTGTGTTTATTCCAACCGAAATAAAACAAATAAGACTTTCTTCAGAAAAAAAAATGTTGGTAGAAATACTGTGAAATCTTCCTTGCTCCATTAGTGCTTGACAAATATTTGAAAAAGAATAAATATTTCACAGGAGGCTTAAATAATTTTGGCTTCAAAAGTTTACATATATAATGATGTTATTTACCTGTAGTCTGTGATCGTGTGTTTGATGTTGTAATTACTTTTGTGTTTGTTGTTGGATCTGTTTGTGTAGTATTGACTTGAAACAGAAACACAGAAACAGAATTGTTGTTTAATTGTTGGTCGAAAAAGCTTTTATGCTCTGACATCACACTAATATGCAGTATAGGTTAAAAAAAAAATCTACATCAACATACCATCAGTATGTTTGAATAATAGTTAAAGATATTATCTGCCTACGCTGGAAATATTTTTATTTGCTTTCAGGGCGGCCATATCACCACCTCGAATGTGCATTATTTTTTAATTCTGTTAATTATGTTAATTTTATAATGTTATCATTCCATTA